ATATTACGATTAAACAACAGAGTAAATATAAAATTAATAAAAAATATTTAATTTTTAATGATCGCGCGAAATGCAGCCAAGTTCTCTAGTTTAAAACAAAAAGGTAAAATTTAGATGGGTCTACAATAGAATTCCTAGAAATCCAACTTGAAAAATTATGTTAAAAATGGAAAATAAAAAGTGAAATAAATTTAATTGAGAGTTATCCTATGTCTGTCCCATTTTATATGACACTTTTTATTTCTCGAGAATCAAATAGTTTAAGTTTGACCGTAAATTTGCGTATGGTATCTTCAATTTTTTTAAAATGAAATTTATATATTTGTAAACTACGTAAAAATCAGAATATTATAATTCATAATAATTAATAATTCAAAATATTTTAAAGATCTATGAAAAATTTAACATCAAAGATAAACTAAAGAGAGTAAAAGGGGAGAATGGAAAGTAGAAAAAAGGAAAAAAAACGAATATATAGAGAGAGAAACTGAGGAAAAAAAGTCAGAAAAGTAATTATTCATGTGGGTTATTGTATATGTAGAAATACACATGTACAATTAATGAGCCACAATTAATTTTATAGTACAATTTGAAATGCTTTGTGTACAAATTGGTAGTGCCGTGTTCGTCCTCTAAAGTGTCACTTCTAATAAGTAGTAATAAATATATATATAGTCAAAGTAATAACAAGACTATTTCTAGCCTAGACAAGTCTTTCAACAATTTACTAGAACTAGTAAAAAAAAAAATCATGCTTGAAAATATTAAAGTCAAGAAAAATGTGATATCTAATATAAATATGACTTCAACATCAATAGTTATAAATGGCTTGAAAATACAACCCTTGAAATCCTCAAGAGGTATAAAATAAGGTGATTCATTATTCATATTTACAGTGCTAAACCATAATAAGACTATTAAAACAAAGACTTTTAGAGGATCCCAACTTTTTTTGGGCCCTATATATAACTAGGGGTGTATAAGAAAAATTGACAAATCGAACTAAATCGATAATTCGAATCAAATAAAAAAAGTAATCTGATTAATGATTTAATTTGACATGATTTGATATTGAGAAGAAAAAATCTGATCGTAATTGATTTAGTTTGATTTTAACTAAAAAAGTCTAATCAAATTAACTAAACCAATGTGACATTACATGTATACAATTTTTAAAAATATTTATACGTAAAAGTATTTATTTTGATGTAATTTATAAATATTTTTAAAAAAATTCATAGATTTTTATCTTTCAACACATTTATTTTAAGTTTGAGACTTAGAATTTTGAGTGATTTCAAAAAGGTAATAGCTCATAGATATTAGTAACTCAATAATGTCGAATATATGTTCTTAAGTTTTACATTGGTTTACACAATTAAAATACATAAACTAATTTTATTATTTCTTTGATATTTAATCATGCAACTAATACTTATTTTAACATGACTTAGTACTTTTAAATCATGGTTATTTTCATTATGACTTATAAATCTATAATATTTATTCTATGCGATTTCATTATTATTTTTTGTTGAATATTTTAGTGTCATCACCCATCTTGAATTTTAAGTTATTTTCTTAAGAAACACTGTAGATAGTTATATCTTGGTAGAATTAAAGAAATGTTTAAAGCATAAGTTAGTTGTGTTTGTATGAAGACTTCACTCGAATAAATAAATAAATCCAAAATCCCAAGAAAATTGAAAAATCCTAAAATACGCGATTAAATTTTTTAACACAAATGATTACATTTGATATTAGAAAAATTCGAATCAACCATGTCATGTACACCCCTAGAAGCAACAACAATAAAACATTCAAAGTGATTCCACAAGCAGATCTAGTCGCAGACCTTACTGACTACTTGTGTGAGTAGAGAACAAAGTGTTTCAAAACTGGTCTTGAAAAATAAATGTGTAGAGAAACCACTACCACCACCACCATGATCCCTATCACCACCATCACCACCACCAACACCAACAATAACAAAAAGGAGAGAAATCAATACTCAATTATCTATTAATCTTTTACCTTAATTCTTGACTTTCACGCTCTTATATCTAAGATCATATTCACATTGAACTGAAGATATATCATATCAAACATCCAAAGCATACGATTTTTTTTTTCAAATTTAGAAGTAAAAATCATATAATTAGTTGATCATGAGTATATAACAACTTTGCATCTAAAAAAATTAACAAAATATTCTTTAAATAAAAATATATACAATTTCACTTAAGAATTTATTATTTTAAATGCCTCTCATCAAAATATAACTTTAGATCACCAACTCAATTTATTGAGACGCTCTTATAGTGTAAAAATATCTAGTAAGAGACCCTTCTAGATATCTCACATATTTTTTTCGCCTATGATTTAATTGTCATGTTAATTGTTAGGTGTGATCGAAATCAATAGTTCTATGAACGTGGCACTCGAAATCTAGCTAATTTATTTTATTAAGTCAAAGGATTGATATCTCACATAATTACTATATTATAGAAGAGTCTAGGAATGACTACTAATGGTCCAATAAGATCACTATTAATGTCCAATATATTTATAAAATATATAAATGGACCCCACCACCTTCCACTTAAATACTACATATTATATATTATTAATTACTATACTATAAATCACAACTAATATCCAATATATTTATCAAACTATATAAGTGGGCCCCACCACCTTCCACTTAAATACTACATATTATATATTAATTACTATACTATAAATGACTTAAATACTCCATATTATCTATTAGAATAATTAACAATTATTTGACACTTTAAATTCTATCAATGCCATATAAATTAGGATAAAAAACCTAACATATAATATTTAAATATATTTAAAAATAATATAAGTAATACTATACATTACAATAATTAACAGCTTAATTATTTAAAACTTATATAAAAAATTTAATTGACTCTCTAAATTCTATTGGTACCACATAAAATGGATTATATAATAAACATATATTGTTTGAAATTGACGAAAGAGAAACAATAAATTACAATAATTAATAAAAAAATATAATCCACTCCAAAAAATCTATCAATTAACAACATATATTGTTTGAAATTGACGAAAAATAAACTATAAATTACAATAATTAACAAAATAAATCTCTCGACTCCAACAAATCTATCAATTAATGCCACATAAATTGGGACATGGCAAATAACATATATTATTAAAAAATTAGGTTCAAAATGTACTAAAAAATACAATAATTAACAACTTAATATATTAAAGAGACATATAAAAAAGGGTTAATATTTGAAATTCTGCATCTGCCACATAAATTAGAACAAAGAGAGTAATAAATATTATTTTCAAAATTATGTTAAAAAAAGTACTACAAATCACAATAGCTAACAATTTAAAATATTTTTAAAATCATATACAAATTTCAATAACTTCTCAAATTCCATAATATGACATAAATTAAAAAAGAAGAAGCTATAAATCATAATAAATAGTACAATATTTAAACTACTTTAAAAGCATTATAAATTGTACTAAATAATACAACAATTTAAATTACTGAAAATTTAACGACTTAATTTTTTTTAAAAAGTGTATTAAAATTTTGGTTAATTGTCAAAACTTTACATGTGCCACATAAATTGGGACATGGACAGTCACACATATTTTTTTTGAAAAAATTACATTAAAAGTATTCTATCAATTAACAACATATATTGTTTGAAATTGACGAAAAAGAAACTATAAATTACAATAATTAACAAAATAAATCTCTTGACTCCAACAAATCTATCAATTAATGCCACATAAATTGGGACATGGCAAATAACATATATTATTAAAAAATTAGGTTCAAAATGTACTATAAAATACAATAATTAACAACTTAATATATTAAAGAGACATATAAAAAATGGTTAATATTTGAAATTCTGCGTGTGCCACATAAATTAGAACAAACAGAGTAAAATTTAAAATATTTTTAAAATCATATAAAAATTTTAATAACTTCTCAAATTCCATAATATGACATAAATTAAAATAAAAAAATAATATATATTGGGCCCCGTGCTGGCACGGGGTCCTATATCTAGTAGTAATACAAGTAATAATTGATTTAGACTACCCAAAAGTAATTATATTTTCTTGTTACATAAAAAAAACGTTTTAACTTTGCTCTATTTATCATAAAATGAATTTTTGTCGTCCTTATTTTATGCAATATCTATTTTATCATTGATATTGTTTTTTTTTTTTTAAAAAAATTATTTATAAATATTATTTTATTTTATATATAATATTTATTTTTCTTAACCTAGCTATTTATTTATCATGTTCTTGCTTTATCTTCATATGAATGAACATGACTGATGACTGTGTAGGTACAATGTATTCTAGGCAAGTCAAACTATATGTAACAATCTTACACTATATCAACAAAACTAGTATCCTTTTGACAAAAAAAAAAGTCGTATAATGAGTATAAAATTTGTAGAATTTCTCTTAGTCTAGAAAAAATAGCATATATGAGTAATTTTTTTTTTTTCAACTATTGGCTCCAAGGCTTGATCTGCTTGTTCTTGAATTTGATTATTTTGTATTTTAACTCAAGGGGTTGAAGCTTAGTTTTAAATATGAAATTTGAACTTGATTGTTATTGCATCACCTATGGGCTCTTATGGCAAGCTGAGTTATTGAAATGATAAGTAAGGCGCGATGAACTTATAATTCATTAGATGCTTATAACGAATGGTAACTAAGTACCATAAATAATATGTATCCGTTTATTCAATCATTTGATAACTAAAGTCATTGGTCGATAAATGATCACTATGTGTTTGACATACACTTTAGAATAATTTAAGATTTGCATAGACAATATAGTAAAATGAATACTGGCCAACACATAGAGTATTCTAATAAGTACTTGAAACAAATATATGAATGAATGCAACAATTTCCCTATTGTATTAAGAATTCAACTATTATTACCTAGGCTTTTACCTGATCCCACCTTCAATATTTTTGCACAGAGAACACCAGATACAAGATTCTATGAGCAATTACTCTTTTTTCGTGACGTTTTTCGTTTACAGTAGTATGGGCAATATATATATACACTCTACTCTGTCTTGTCTTCTTCTACATCACCACCATTAGATGTCCCATCTCCACCAGGCGTTGATCTCACTTCGGATGGAATTCTTACATCCTTTGAAGGTAGAAAGGAGGGTTTTATGAGTGTCAAGGTGATATCCTTATCAAACTCTTCACTATCATCAGAATAGACATATCTGGTTGTATCGAAAAGAAAACCAATTAGAATATAAGTGTAGATAAGGAAAGTAAATATCGCGAACATATAGGTTCTACCAAATGCCAATTTTTTTTACAGAAAGACCTGTGGTTTTTGAGATTCATTTCATGAAGAAGGAAGATATGAAATGGTTTGAAGAAAACGATCCTGAATCTTTGACACCGGGAAAATATGTATCATTTTCTTCTTTACTTCTCAACTGACAAAGGAACTTTATTCGTTCATGATCTCTCAATGGAAATGGGGAGGGTTGGGTGAAGGAGAAAATCATCTCATTTTCTCGCATGGTCAAAGTATTCATACTCTATTAAGATAAAAATTGCCATGGATCCCTAGTTCAGAGGACATTTCAGATCATCTTTGTTCTTTTTTTATATAAGAAAGAACACTCATCATTACTAAGCGATCATTTTTAGCATGTTTTATGGTAGAGCAATTTCACACTAGGAGCCCTGTGAACTCAATCAAATCTAAAACATGCATTATAGAGATGAAAGCCTGGTCGTCTTACCTCATGGAGTTTTGAGATGGAGCCCAAAGAGCACAGATGACGCAAAGGAGAGAGAAAGACAACACTTGCCAGAAGGCAGGAATAATCCAGGCCTTTTCCCATCGCTCATTGTACACGTCAGTGGACTTGAAGTACAGCTGCCATGGAAAAACAAGTTTTAATGCTTAGCTTGGTAATACAAAAAACCGGAAAAATTAGGACGATAAGAAACTTGTGTTATATGAACTCAGGTACGAGATAGGAGGGCATTCCAATTTTGAAGGATCCACATAAGCCCCCAATCATTCCAACTGATCCTAAGTTGAGGAAAGTAAGAATCTCGCTACCAAACATATGTGCTTCAGCTAATGGAAATACTTAATAAATAGGTAGGTCTCCTAGCCCTTGCACTCATTAAACTTATTTACTCATTATACATCAGTAATAGATTTACTCTTTCCTAAAATTTTGCTCATTTAGGTTTCTTAAGAATTCCTGGATAGAAGAAAAAGATAAGTTGAGTTATGATGCTTTTACTTATTTATTTAATGGCTTAGAGCAGATGAACAGATCACGAATAACATTACAACTGTAACTCCAATAAAAGCACCACCTTCCTGTCACCCGTAAGCACCTAATTTTACTGTTTTCATGTTTGTTTATCAAGAATTGCAGGTCAGTTAATGGATTAGATGAGTGCTGGATATTTTGGTTACTGTTTCAACAAACCCATTCCCTGTGGCCTGTACACATAAACTGGACACTTGAGCATTAAGGTTTGGCTATTTTTCCTTTAATTCAGATCTCTTTGAAAAGATCACTTTGGGGTTGCCATCATTTGGCTCTTTCCAGGGAGAGTAGACAAAATCTAAGAATCGCTATATTAGATTGATGGAAATAAACAAAAAGATCAGCCTTAAATTGAAGATAGCCAAATATTACCTCATAGCATACCCAACCAACAGAAACAATAACTGCAACAGCTAGAGCATTTGTGAACCTCCGGTATATGTCTAACTTGGCCAACAATCTTCTAGCCTGTCAATCCACAACAGCAGCAAATGAACTACCATTGATTGATAGCAAGAATGATTGGAAACATGAAGTCATGTCATAATTAATCTTCATATATATATATATGAAGGTGAACATGTATCACGTCAAGATCTCTGGTCACTCACAAATACATTAATAGGATAGGAATTGCGGAAAGGAAGCCCTTTTATAGACCAGCAAATTGACACAAAGTTATAAGCAAAAGTAAAGGTCACTGTACCTGAAGTTTATTCAAAGTTGCAGAAAGAGAATTGAATATCCAGAGGATGAAGAAAGCATCCAAGATTGCCACAGGAAGTACAAAAAACAACCTTGCTTTTCCTGAGAAATCACTAACAGTACCAACATTTTCTACCAGTTCAAGCACTTCCGATGCCAGAAAGAAAGTTCCTCCAAGCAAAAGAACCTTGGATGTAAGACCACCAAGGGTAGGTCTAACAACACCATACCCCATAGAGACCATCAAAATAATCAAACGAGCAACTGTGCGCTTTACTGCACCAAAGGTAACAGCCCATACAGTGATCCCAGTTGGTCTGACTCCAGTTTCATTGAATTCAGCATAATCAAAGTACCATAATGCCATCTCAAACATGCCCAACGTTATAACGAGAGTAATACAATTTTGTAAAGCAAGAACTTCTCTCCAGAATCTCGCATACTGAGAAAACCAAAAGATCCCTAGTAACACAAACATAAGAGACATGTACCCATAGAAATTCATAAGTGGTGCCATTCTACCAGGTAGGTAACCAGTAGGATTTTTCCATATGGTTTTCCCTTCAACAACAACTTCCTTAAGATTATGGTCGCAGTGCATAAAGTACACATTGTACATTCCAGTTTTTGTTATATGTATTGTTCTTGGCTGCAGTTTTGCTTCAAACTCATCAATGCCAAATGAGGCACCAAATACTTTAGGCCAACCAGGATTATTGGTAGATGGGCGGTGGATTATTTCCCCTTGTGTACAAACTCCCAGTTTTGCAAGATCTGCTGTGCAACAAACAGCTCTTTGCCCCCCATAGGCAGAGCCGCCAATTGTCTCTCGGTCATCCACCTCAAAAACAACTGCATGAATTGATCCTGAGCTAAAGTTTGAAAATTCTTCAGGTCTCCGGAATATAATCTTCTCAAAGCTGATTTTTACAAACGATAAAGGTCAGAAAATGCTGAACTTATATCTCTGTGATATATGTTTCTATTACCAACATTCCAACAACAATAACAAGGAAAAATGCTTGAGCTCAGGGGCGAATTTACATTTTAAAAATGGGGCACGTGAACCCGTGGTCTCACTGTAAAACTAGGTGTTTGATGTATATATTTTCTAAAATTTGGTATAATATTATCTGTTCACACCTATGCTACAAGAATGCTAAATGGTGCACTTGGTTGGATGTTGAGTTATTTACCAAGGGATCAATTTCCACTTAATACCTTTTTCAGTGTACTTTTAGCAGAAGAATGGTGTTATATTTGACATGTAGCTTAAGTTTCCATGTGACAAGTTAGAATTTAAGCTTTAAATAATGGATCATGTCGAAAGGGGCTACTTTGAGAATCTAAAAAATTCAGATATCATTTTTCACTTTGAAAACAAAAACTACTTTTTCAAATTTCACAATGAAACATGACCAAACACCATGGAAATGAAAAACTATTTCACTTTATTTGGAGTTTTTGAAGTTGGAGTTGTGTTATTTTCTCGCACACCACAACATACATGTAGGCCTAATATGACATGGATTATTGATCTTCTTCAAGGACATCGCATGCCTATGTAGAAATCTACAGGTTTCTATCCTGAAACGTTTTGTCAGCTAATCAACTCCAACTTCAAAAATTCCAAATAAAGCTAAATAGATTTGGGTTTTCATGGCCAAACACGCGTTTGACCATGTTTCATTGTGAAATTTGAAAAAAAAATAAATAGGTTTTGTTTTCAAAGTGAAAAATGATAAATTACCAAGTCAGTACCCCACTCTCAAATCTCAATTCATCAATCAACTAATCTTCAATAATCCCAAATTAAGATCCACTAATAACAGCAATATAAATAAAAATCCAAAATGAGCAGAAAAAACTATCAGATAATAACAGTAACTTCGAGTGAAGCTATTAAACATCAAAATTCAAAACAGTCATAGCTAAAATACATTATTTAAAGGAAGAGTAGGAGAGAGAGATTTTCACCGTATAAAAGAGAGTCCATCTGAAGAGGAGGTAGAAGATTGGTTGAGGTTAGAGTTAGAAGAGTAAATTCCCTCGCTACCTCCATGGACTACGAATACATTACCTTTGTTTGCGAATTTCTCGGCAGAGTAATCGTGTAGTGAAGCTTGTGTAAAGTGAAGTGACCATAAGCAAAGTATAACAATGGCTGAAGCTGAAGCTCCGAAGGACGACATTGCCCCTTAACAGAGCTCAGTAGAAGAAGAAGAAGTTGAGCTTGTGTAGAAAAATGGTAGATCTGCCGTTGCACTAGTAAAAGAAGTGGAAGAGGAGGACTACCCACGGGGGAGTGGGACCTACACGTTTAAGAGAGACAATTTTCTACTCCTTCCGTCCAATTTACCCACACTATTAATTTTTCGAAAGTCAAACAATTTAAGTTTGATCAAAAAAAAATTTTTAAATAATTTTTTTTTTCACTCTCAACATTCAAAAAAGACGGAGGGAGTACTTAATGGAGAGTTTTGGTTAAAACTATCCATCATTAATAGTGTTTAATTTTAAAAAATATCTTACAAATAAGAGTAACTTAGTATTAATTTTATTTTTTTAATGGACATAAAATATGCTATAACAAAATTTACTTTGAAACTGAGTGGATACTGTTTTCTCTCTTTTTTTTTATTTTTATATTTATGTTATTTAATCCTTATTAATGTTGTGTTTTATTCTTTACAAAATAGGAGAGTAATTTCCATGGATAGTCACTCATGTTTGGAAAATTACCTTGGAATATCACTTATGTTTGTTTTAGGACCACAATATCACCCAACTTGACCTCTTTTCCTCAAAATATACTTACACAAAAAAAAACATTATCTCTCTCCTAATAGGATGCCATGTCACATTATTCCTTTTTCATTATTAACATTTTAAAAAAATAAAATTAGACAACCCATTTTACCTAGTAAAAAAAAATTACATAGCTCAAAAATTTCTACCCTAGTTCTAGGGGATTAGGCGGCAAATCCAAATATGAGCTCCTCCGATTCTTCAAGAAAATATGTGGCTTCCTCCGATTTTTCAAGCGAGATAATGTTTTTATATGGGCACTAATGGGCAATGGCACCTTTTTGTTGAGTCCGGAGCCAAAAGTGCAACTTTTTTTCTTTAAAAAACAAAAACGGCACATCAAAAAAAAAATAACCAAAAGGGCAAAATCGCTCCTGACGAAGCGATTTTGTTCTGACAAAAATTGACGCCGATCCGCTAAAAGAAATAAAATTCGCTGCTATAACAACGTTTTTATATTAAAAAAATTAAAAGCAAAATAGCAGCGATTTTGTTTAAGAAATTTAAAAAAAAGTTTTGAAGTTAAATCGCTGCTATAGCAGCAATTTTGTTTAAGAAATTATTTTTTTAAAAAAAAAATCCTACCCTTGCAGAGAATTTAATTAAAATTAAAACTGAAGCCAGCGATTTTCATAAAAAGCTTTTTTTTTTTTAAAAATCTTTACCCTTTCAGCGATATAAATGAAGATTAAAAAAAAAGTAAAACTGAAAATCGCTACTTCGGCAGCGATTTTTTTTTTAAAAAACTTGTTTTTTTTTTAAATGGCTGCCGCTGGAAATTTATGTAATTTAAAACTTGTTCTTTATGTTTTTTTTTTAATTCCTTAACAAAAAATCGCTGTTATAGCAGCGATTTCACTTTTAATTTATTTTTTTTAATAAAAAAGCTGCTATAGCATTGATTTTAAAGAAATAATGACTTTTTTTTGAGAAAATCGCTGCCAAATGCAGCGATTTTATTTCTTTTAACGGAACGACGTCAATTTTTGTCAGAAAAAAATCAATCCGTCAGGAGGGATTTTGCCCTTTTGGTTAATTTTTTTTTTTGATGTGCCCTTTTTGTTTTTTGAAGGAAAGAAATGACCCTTTTAGCTTCGGACTCCCTTTTTGTTGATATTTTAATTCATTAGAGTAATAAGGTAACCATATTGTCAAACTACAAAAGATATAATGTTTTTAAAGAATTTTAAAAAATGTTAATAATAAAAAAGAAATTAAAGAAATGTTAATAATGAAAAAGGAATAATGTGACATGGCATCCTATTATGAGAGAGATAATGTTTTTTTTTTGTAAGTATATTTTGAGGAAAAGAGGTAAAGTTGGGTGATATTGTGGTCCTAAAACAAACATAAGTGATATTCCAAGGTAATTTCCCAAACATGGGTGACTATCCAAGGAAATTACTCCAAAATAGGAATAAGATCTACCGGTTATTAGAGCCGTCAATATGGGTTAGGCCCGTAGGGCTGGCCTGCTCTAACCTGCGATTTGATAGGGTTGGACTATGATTTTTGGAGCCCATTTAAGAAAAAAGTTTTTTAGCCCGACCTGAATAAGTCTGCCGATTTGGGGGGCTTGAGAAATATGGATAGGACCGGCCCGTGGGCTAAATAAAAATTAATTAAATAATAAAAATAAAATAGAGTATTAAAAATAACAAGAGTCTAAACTCAAAATCTGTTAGAAGTTTGAAATATTACAATTTAATTATAAATTATATTTATAAAATATGTACTACATAAAATAAAAATTTACTAAAATTTCTAGAGAATCACTACATAGGTTGTAACCTATGGAATGTTGTCATAGTTTTTGTGTTTTATTATGATCATTGAAAAACAATTAGGTTAATATTTCTATTTAGCTATTTATGTTTTTACTTGAAATCAAACTTAATAAATATTATAAAGATAATTTTATTTGTAGATTTGATTAACAAGTAGTAACACTAACACCATGTAATATTGTCTTGTCGATATTTATGATAATATTTTAAAATTATAATTTAATTAAAAAAATTATAAAAAATATTATTTTAAAAAAGAGGGCTGACTCGGCAAAGGCCGTAGCCCACATACTTGTGGGCTGGGCTGACCATTTTCTAGCCCACACCAAAAAAATGGGCTAGTCCGGCCTGTCCCGTAAAATTTCAAAGCATGTATGAATTAGCCCGGATGGTGTTGTATGTTGGTGAGAAGTGCTTGGTCAATCCCTCTGTTTATTTTTACTTGTCCATAATGATTGATATTATTTGCTAGTATAGATTGTTGTATTCCATCCTTGTAAAATGAATACAAAAGCATTTCTTCCAGCTTTTGCTCTAATATCTTGTGGTACGGGAACTTACCAATTCCATCTTCCATCAAAATAATCAAATCAACTATGCTTCACTTCAACAAAGACATGGTATCTTGTAGTCTAATACAATCAACCATAAAAATTGAAAATTTCCCACATTAGAGTAAAAATGGACAGGATGAATTTGGCATTATCCAGATCAACCACCATTTCCCCATACCATCATCAGGTCCTATGCCCAAATGTACCAGTAAGTCGAGTAGGGGAGCCATCAATATATATCAACATGTAATCGGAAAAAGAATGTAGTAGGTACAACCCGATTCCCAACTTGTAGATGTTACAATGAACAACGTGTAGCAGCGAAAGAAACCATTTATAGTTACTTCTGCCACCAGCCAGCAACTGCGGCAATATTTGCAAAAGCCATGCCATGCCATGATCAGAGGCGGAGCCAGTACCAGCAGTTTGGGGGTTCTAAATTTTCTTCCCCTTCCATAGCATTGAGTTGTCAACAGTTTTGTTAGGGGTTCATAAGTTAATACATATATATTTACTTAATTTTATAGTACAAATACAAGGTCTACGGAAAAGCTACTGGCACGAACCCCCACCTAGCTCCGCCCCTGGCCATGATACTGGGAAGAACCAGATATCAGTAACAAGAATTCTTAGTCCATATCAAGAAATTCCATCCTCTTTCTCATTGAACCTTTAAGATCTGTAGACTCCCTTTCTGCTTTTTGCGCCTGATGATACATAAGGCATTATAACACACTGTATTTCTAGATATGCTCAAAGAAATTGCTCTAACATTTCATCTTGATAATAACGAAACAAATCTCTATGCTTAAAAGATCCTCCAACAATATTCTAACCCTTTAGTAGCAAAAGCAAAGACGGTTTCTACATCCAAATACTTATTAACAACAACAATTGTTAATTGCAATTGATAAACAAAACAATAAGTGTAATATGACGACAAAATATGTTGCATCATCAAAGTCTTGAGACTATTTACGTATCCCTTGGTGTTATTAGATACATCATAACCTTGTCCACCTTTTTTTATGGACTTAGAGAGTGATCCGAAAGCAAAGAATAGATTGTTTTCTTTAATGGTCCTTTTATCTGCTGAAAAATTGGGAAGGAGTGGGGAGAAGAGGATCACAATAAGACTAGTGGAGGAGCATTCCACTTTTGTGGGGCCATATACATTCGAGCTTTGGTAATTGTAACCTTGGTTCCAACCCCCATGATCTAAGTTGCTCGGACTCTTCACTTTTGGTGCCGCACCCGTGTTAACACGACATGGGTGTGGGTGTGGGATCCGTGTCCAATTTGGTCAACCGATTTCGGGTACTTTGACCAAAATCGATGGGGAAAGTCTTGGACAGTTTTAATGGCTTCTGTATATAATACTAAAGCTAAGATGAAATTGTAGAAAATTGAATACCTTTTATATAGAAATTTCTATGTCATTCATTTTCCTTTAATCTCCTTCCAAGATTCTCCTCAAGTTCTCCACATAATCTCATAATTTAGGTTTTATAACTCTATTTTTAGATATTTTTAGGCTTATCCCCGCACTCGTATCCATACATGGATCCATATCCCTGAATCTTAAAAGTTAGATCATGAAGGATCTGACCTCTAGATCCGCACCCGAGTCGAGCAACTTAGCCCATAATTACTATCCCTCCAATAGGAGCATCTTTTATATCGAAAGAGCATTATGATGAATGCTAAAACAGATCACCTCTGCCCCTACCCAACAACAGATGAACGAACTGCTTATTGAACACCAAATTAAAGCTCTTAAAGAGAGATGGGAAGAATTCATGAATGCATAATTTCTCAAGAACAACAAAAGTCAAAAGCTTTACACCAAAGTAGAGAACTACACTCTTGTTCAAGAACCTTATATGAGAACATATTTAGAAAAGGAGGGCCAACACGAAAGCAAAATTAGACATAATTTCATTAAGGCCAACTTTCAGCTAACAAGCCAAATTAGACACTGAGCTTCTCACAAATTTTATTTTTGCAAGCTAAATTTTTTATAGGATCTTTTCTCAAAAACTGATCAAGTGGAAAACGAAAGTAGATCGGCAAGGAGTTAGACCACCACAATTTACAGTCCACTATGACATATTCACTTCATAGCCTGGTATATCCAACTATTTGGGTGCTTACATTGGAGTTAAATCATGTAAAAGAAAGGGAAGAAGTTAAAACTGAACTCAATTATATAGATGGTGGAATCATGGTATTGCCATGTTCCGAAACACATTTCATTAAGCATCAGTATTAGTCAAACAATGAATAATGAGGTCATGCCCTTGTAATCTCAGCAACTGATGAAACATGAGTCATATGGGGTGGAAGTTCCTCCTTATCAACATCCTGAAAAATCACAACAAAACTGGGTGCAGGATCATAGTACATACCAATTCTCCAATTAACACGACGTTCTTCCCACGGATAATATAAAGACCTAGTGGGATATCACAATATAGATCACCAACTAGTGTACTTTCTGTTGGGTTTTAAAAGGTGTGAATGGAAAATGAAGAGTTGCGACTTTTATGAAGAGTTGTGACTTTGATGAAAAGTTGCGACTTTTATGAAGAGTTGTGACTTTTATGAAAAGTTGCGACTTTTATGAAAAGTTGTGACTTTTATGAAAGGTGGTGACCTTTCCGAAAGATTGTGACTTTTCCAAAGGTTTGTGATCTTTCCGGTGAGGCACAATAAGAACCTTTGCACACTACCCTTTGTTTTCTATAAATTGAGGAATTTCCTCTCATTTTAAATATAGAATTTTTCTGGACTTCTTCTACTACTAAATCTAATATTCTAAGTGTACTTTATGGCCGTTGAGTGGCTCGCTGACACCAATGTTTTGGGTATCAATACACTGGTAATTGAGATCATTCTATCATGGGAGGACATATTCCAAATCAAACCTCGAATACTAGAGGGGAATAATTTCCTTAAGGGGACACTGTGCATTCAGTGAGCTTGATCTTCTTTCTGTTTTTTCCAGATTCTGGTATGTGTTACAGATTTTAGATTTGTGAATTAATTTATGTTCTTCTGTTCTTCACTGGTTCATTAAACTTTGGTAACTTCGTGTTTCTGCAAAGTTTGTTGGAATCAGTAAGATTCTTTAAACACAGATTGACAACAATTCTTCTTTAAGAAAAAATATTTCGTATATTTTTTCTAATCTGTTTCTGATTCTAGTTTCTCTACTAGTTTTAATTTTCTAGTTGTGAAAATGTTCTTAAACTTTATTGTGTCTTATCAAGTTCTTCAAAGTTTTGTTCTAAGTATCTTGGGAATACAAGACGAATAACAATCTTAAGGAAATTATTATACTGTTGGTATTTCTTGTATTCTACTGATTGAGAGAAACAAATCATGGAAGTAGAAGTTTAAGGCATTACTTCTCCATAATTTGGTGCTTTGTTTAGCAAGGTCGAAGTGAGAATGTACAGAAAAAATTGGTGCTATTCTGGTTAAAGAATACACCAGGTAACCTTCTTATTATTTATCTAAGGAGGAAAATAGTTTCTAAGAGTTAACAATTTTGATTTTTTATCATGTGTATCTTTGGAAAAAGATCTGCAAACCATTTGTTGTGGAATGAATTTTTCTTGGCAGATAGTATTGCCTTTAAAATTCTTTAGTTTGCAAAATGAGAGATGCACATTTTTGTTTGATAAAATAGTATGTCAAAATGTTATAGTTGGAAGACTATATGAAAAGAAAAACATTTCTATGTGATAAAGAATATGTTTAATTCTGTTTGGAGACTAAAAAAAAAAATACTTTTGTAGTTTTGTACTCCATGTGAAATTTGATTGTGTTTGATTTTTGTAGTCTAAAAACTTTTGTAGTTTATTACTCTGGATAAATCAGACTATGCAATTGGTTTGAAAAATTATGAAAACTTCACATAATAAGTCAATGTTGTACTTTTGACTTTCTATAAACTCACTGTTATATAGAAACAAATTGTACAATTTTTTTTGTCTTTATTGTAGTATTCTAAATACTAAGTGATATGTCTATTTGTGATAGATGGAAAAATACCAGTGACTTAGAGTTTGTGATTTTGTGCCTCTATGAATGAACTTTGACATTGTGTAAATATTGTCAAAGAGGATTGAAGCAATATAATTCTTTTGTAGAATAATATTTCCAAAAGAGGTTTCATAGTGCCAATGACATTTTGATAGTCTGGAAAAATATGTGGAAAAACTATTTTCAAATACTTGAAAAATATTTTTGAGATCATATTTAAAATGTGGGGGTTCTTTGCTTATGATAAAGATAAAATTAGACTTGGTGTCTAATTTAATTTTGGAGCAAAAGATATGAAATTCAATGATACTTTTGTATTATGTTAGACCCACAAAATTCTTGGAGTATATTCGGTATTGTGGTTGTTGAGTTTCTCTATTACTAGTATATGATGTGACTAGTATGAAACTACCAAATATATATATACTTGTTCAAAATAATTGTGTTCTTTTATGAAAAAGTGTCACTTAAAATGTTGTGATTTTTCATGAAAATATATGTCTATTATAATAAAAGTATTTGCATAGACATGAATATTGGTGAATAGTTATTCGTTATGTTTTGTAAAAGAAACATTTGGATTATATTGCCTTTATTGGACCTGATGAAACTTTGTTCACGGGTAGTTCTATAACAATCAAATTGAAAGTTATGGAAAGGTCCTGCTGAAAAGGACATTTGACAAGGTGATGACTCTAAACAATGTTTGTGTCATACAAAATTGTAAGAAATAGGAACAAATATCTGTGAGAAAAAGCTACCTCGCACTGAGCTTTTCAAACTCAATATTTTTATTTGTTCTTACTTGCTTGAGTCAAACTGTTTGTGACATGAACACTTGGGACATATCAATTACAAAACCTTGTAAGGAAAATTGATCAACTTAGAAGTTTTGTCTAACTTTGAATGCAATAAATAAAAATGTCAAGTTTGTGTGAAATCTAAGTATGCTGAGCATTCTTATAAATCTGTTGAAAGGAATTCTAATCCCTTAGAATTGATTTATACTGACATTTGTGATATGAAGTCAACACCATCTCATGGTGGAAAAAAGTATTTCGTAACTTTCATTGACAATTGCATTAGAAATGACTATGTCTATTTGCTGAATGGTAAGGATGAAGCAATAGAAACGTCTAGACAATATAATATTGAAGTTGAAAATCAGTTGGGAAAAAAATAAGAAGTAATAGGGATGGAGAGTATAAATCTCATTTTGCAGAAATATGTTTGAAAAGTGGAATTATCCATCAAACTGCTGCCCTATTCACCTCAATCTAATGGAAAAAAAAACTGAACTTTGAAGGAAATGATCAATGCATTACTTATAAGTTTTGGTTTACCACAAAACTTGTGTGGAGGAACTATCCTTACTGCAAAAGGGAACAACAAAAAGTTTTGCCTTTTCATAAAGAAAGCAATGGGAAATTTTGTTTTTCCAGGACACAATCTATTCCATATGAGAAATGGAAATAAAGGAAATCCAACTTGAAATAGTTCAAAGTGTGGGGGGTGTCTAGCCAAAATCCAAGTTCCTATTTCTAAAAGGATTAAAATAGGACCTAAGACAGTGGACTGTAATATTAGACTTGAGTAGTCTAGTGAAAGGTCTAAACAACCTTGGAAAGAATAAAAGGAGAATGTACTTAATAAAGATATTCTGAGGTGTAGTAAATGTCAAAGGACATCTACTTTCTTCGAATATGATTTTGTAACATTTCTTGTGTCTTCTGTAGACTCATCCTTTTGGACAGATGGTGTTAATAGTGAGATTGGTTCAATCTTGAGCAATCCTATTGGAAGTTGGTTGATCTTCCCCCAAAAAATAAACTTTTGGGTTCAAAGTGAATCCTCAAAAGGAAAATGAAAGTCGATGGAACTGTTGACAGATATAAAGCAAGACAAAAACAAGGTCTTGATCTTTTCGACAAATACTCGCCAGTAGCTAGAATTACATTCATTTGGATGTTAGTTGTATTAGCTGTGATATATGACCTCCAAATTCATCAAATGAATGTGAAAACAACTCTCTTAAATGGAGAATTAGAGGAAGAAATTTACATGGAACAACCCGAGGGTTTTGTGGTTCCTGGTAAAGAAAAGAAAGTGTGCGAACTTGTTAAGTCACTTTATTGACTAAAACAAGCGCCCAAACAATGACATAAGATATTTGACCAAACTATGTTGGTAAATGGGTAAATGGATTTAAGAATGATGGAAGTGAAAAATGTGTTTACATTAAAATGACTAGGTCATTGTTTGTTTGTATAATTGGTAATATGTTGACACTAAATGCTACTAAACGTATTCTAGAAAGCAAGTTTGGAATGAAAATTTTTGGAGTTGCCAAGTGATTAGCCAGCTCAATCCTTAGAACTCCATAATGTTTAGCATATTCGCGGTCTCATTGCATTGAAACGGTACTTGACTAGTTCAAATATTTGGATTTCAATATTGTCAAGTCTCCAATAAATGTGAGCTTTGCATTTCAAAAGAGTGAAGGCAAAAGTGACTCACAATTGGTTTGTGCTAAAGTATTGAGAAATATGATGTATATCACGAAGTGTGCGCGATCAGATATAACATTTGCTATTAATAAACTGAGTCGGTTCACGAGTGATCCCAATCGAACTCATTATATGACAATGAAAAGAGTTTTGGAGTATTTAAGAAATACTTAAAACTATGTCTTGAATTTTAACAATATCCAATAGTATTGAAAGGATATAGTAATGCGAATTGGATCACCGGACAAATGAAGTGAAATCCACGAGTGGATATGTATTTACTCTTGGTAGAGGAGCAGTCTCTTGAAAATATTTTTAAAAAAAAGAAAAAAAAAGAGATATGTATCGCTAGCTCTACAATGATCTCTGAGCTAGGTGCTTTAGATAAGGTCGATGAATAAGTTGAAAGACTCCGAAATTTCTTGATAGATATTCTTTTTGGCCCAAACCTTTGGCATCAGTATGCATACACTTTGATAGTCAAGATGCAATAGGTAGGGCATGGAGAATGATGTATAACGAAAAGTTTAGTCATATAGGACATAGACAAGATACCGTTAGAAAACTACTCTCTAGTGGAATTATCAGAATTGACTATGTAAAGTCAAAGGATAATGTGTCGGATTCATTTACAAAAAGGCCTAACTAGAGAGAAAGATTAAAGATCATCTAAGGGAATGAGTTTACGGCTTAGGACAAGTCATCATAGCGGTAACTCTATCTTGCAGATTGGAGATCCCAAGAGCTAGATTCAAGGAGAAAAACAAAGTTGTGACTAACGGTTCGGCATTGTCAACAAACTCAATCCATTCTCATGATGAAGACAATGCTCAGGAACAAGGATACAACATTAAGGCATGTTAATGAGTTACTAAAGCTTAATGTTTTTACTGATTTGCTAAGTTTGACAGATTTGACCAAATAGTGTATCTACGCGATAACACTATTAGAAATCACCTATGTGGGTGTGAAGTGTAAGTCGCTTCAAAGAGAATTATTGTCAAAAGCCTATTCTCTATACACTCATGAAACCAGGAGGTGTTCATGGCTGAAACGAACACAACCGTAAGAACCATAAATGGTAAAGAGTTAATTGTGTGACATATGGTTGTCTAGGTATACACCAAAGCTCGACGGTTCAAAGATATCGCATCTACCGATTGATCGAGTATATCCGACATATGTTCACTACGGAAAGTCCAAGGGGAAACCTACTTATCCAGATGCAATTAATTCTTGCTTGTAAAGTACACATATTTATCCATTTCTTTGTCTTGGAGTCATTCCCCATTCATGTGGGCGATTGTTGGGTTTTAAAAGGTGTGAATGAAAAATGAAGAGTTGCGACTTTTATTAAGAGTTGTGACTTTGATGAAAAGTTGCGACTTTTATGAAGAGTTGTGACTTTTATGAAAAGTTGCGACTTTTATGAAAAAGTTGTGACTTTTATGAAAAAGTTGTGACTTTTATGAAAAGTTTTGACTTTTATGAAAGGTGGTGACCTTTCCGAAAGATTGTGACTTTTCCAAAGGTTTGTGACCTTTCCGGTAAGGCACAATAAGAACTTTTTCACACTACCCTTTGTTTTCTATAAATTGAGGAATTTCCTCTCATTTTAAATATAGAATTTTTCTGGACTTCTTCTACTACTAAATCTAGTATTCTAAGTGTACTTTACTGCCGTTGAGTGGCTCGCTGACACCAGTGTTTTGGGTATCAATACACTGGTGATTGAGATCATTCTATCCTGGGAAGCATATTCCAAATCAAACCTTAGATACTAGAGGGGAATAATTTCCTTAAGGGGACACTGTGCATTCAGCGGGCTTGATCTTCTTTCTGTTTTTCCAGATTCTGGTATGTGTTACAGATTTTAGATTGTGAATTAATTTATGTTCTTCTGTTCTTCACTGGTTCATTAAACTTTGATAACTTCGTGTTTCTGCAAAGTTTGTTGGAATCAGTAAGATTCTTTAAACACAGATTGACAATAATTCTTCTTTAAGAAAAAATATTTCGTATATTTTTTCTAATCTGTCACCACTAAAGCTTCTTATATAAAAGCTTAGGAACACATAACTAGTGTCTTTCTTTTGAGGCTTTTAGCTCCTGTTCATTTTTTCCACTCTCTGCAAATGATGAGCACCTTAAATTTACAGGCTTGTCATTTCTCTACCATTCAAGAAGCTGAGATGAATGTCAGTATCAAAGGAGAAAGGGGTGCAATTGTTTCACGATCACAAATGTCAAAAAGATATTATTCTACATTCAAGTGGGTAAATTTCCGAGTATACTCCCTCTTTCCCCAAAAGGCAGGACTTTCGTAGGAAGGAGGAAGAGTTTACTCTTTCACCATCTCCTAGAAATTCATTGTTCTCCCTCCATAAATTAAAAGCTAACCACTCAACTTTTGAACTCTAAGGTTATGTTGCTCGAACTCTTCAAAAAAATTTGCCGCACCCGTGTCGGATTCTAAAAAATACACTATTTTTGGAGTATCCTACACGCACCAGACGATGTTTTGAAGAGCCCGAGCAACAAAACTCTAAGGTACCACCATCATTCTAACATTAGCTTATGAGGCTTAGAAATTGGAGAAACAATAACTATAGCTATAAAAATAAAAGAAGAGGAATCAAGCTACTCCATTGTCCATGATGAATCCTTTTTCTTCTTGAGAATTTTTACTGAAGATAACTTCGATTTTGTCTTTTTTTAACTCATCATTGTACATTAAATTAAAAGTCTTTTTTCTCACAATAAGTACTAAATGTTTTTTTTGAAACTGATAACATTACTCTATTTATCCACATGTATACTACCACCAAAAGTGTAGTTCCCCTTCAAAAGTATTACAAACTATCAAAAGCTCAAGTCTATTTGTGTTGCCTATAAATAATCTAGTACATCAAAGATGTCTTCAGTTTGAGCTAATAAACTATGTTTACACCAAAAATAAAATAGAGCTAAACACTTCATCTTGACATCCTGTAGACTGTTGTACACATTTTCAAAGCTCCTATTGTTTCTCTCTTTCCAGATTGACCACCAAATGCATGCTGGGACAATCTTCCATCTCTCCTCCTTCTTGGTGACATTTCTATCCCGGATCCAGCTACTAAGTACTCCTTTAATGCATCCTGGTTCCACCCACCTGACCCCCTTTAGGCTACTGAACATTCTCCATAGTTGTTATGTCCATATACAATGTAAGAAAAGATGGTTGACTGTCTCAGCTTGTTCTCCACACAAGTAACACCTAGAAGCCAACAGATGGCCTCTCTTGTTCAGGTTCTCATGTGTTAGAATAACTTGTTTTACCAAAAGCCAAGTGAAACAATTCACTTTGAAAGGTACCATATCATCTTCCATGGCCACTCTTTCTCCTGTTAAGAGCCGTATAAGTAGACTTGACTCCTGCCACATTAGCAGATCATTTTCCCCAGCAAGACTTGTATGAGCATCTAAATAGTTGAGTAGTTCTGTCATATTTCCAATCTCCCAGTCATTTAGTTGCCTTCTTAGGCCAAGATTTCACCCCTCCACATATTAGCTAGCTACAGTGGCATGTTGCCATTGACATAGTGTAAATATGACAAGGTGTGTTTGTCTCAAAACTACTATCCTATTCCACTTGTCATCCCAGAAGGAGGTTTTCCTGCCATTTCCCAACTTCACTCTGGTTCTTGCTTGTATCATTGGCCACAGATTCCTCTCCATACAGTGCATTTATATGGAATATATTGCAACTTGTGTTGTCATCCACTTGTCCTCCATCCCATATTTAGCAGTAATCACATCCTTCCAAAGCATGCCATCTTCATTTGCAAACTTCCATAACCATTTCAACATCAAGCTTTGGTTTCGTTTCTTTAGGCTCTTGATGCTCAGTCCCCCTACTTCCTTACCCACAATTAATTCACTCCACTCAACTAAGTGGTACTTCCTCTTATCTTCACTTCCTTGCCATAGGAATCTCCTCCTCATAGCATCAATGCAGTTGTACACACTAGCTGGCATAGGAAATATAGACATCATATAGGAAGGGAGTGCATCAAGTACACTATTAACCAAAGTCAATCTGCCTCCCAGTCCCAGTGACAAGTATTGGCATTTCCAATTGGTAATTAAGTCTCTTCTCACACTTCTTCAATACCCCATTCCAGATTCCTTTTGATTTGCTATTGGCCCCAGAATAAGTACTAAATGTTGTAAAAAATACTCTTTTCGTTTTAATTTGTTTGCCTTACTTTCCCTTTTAATCGTTTCAAAAAGAATGTTTCTTCCCTTTTTTGACAAGTCTCTTTACTTCAAACTTTTCACGTGGCATGTTTGGACGACAAGATCAAAGGACATTTTGATACATTCTACATATTTTTAATTTAAGACCACTAAATTCATCTTACTTTCCTGGACAAACAAACTAAATAGTAAATTTTTAGATCAATAAAACAATAATGGAAAAACCTTTATGGGATTAATTATACACTTCATTCCCAAAATGATGGTCAATCTGTAAATTAATACTTTGGATGAAAGCTGAATTTTTTTTGGGAGCAACTAATTTATCGTAGCGGTGATATGAATAGCTAATCCATTAACTAACTCCAAATCTCTAGCATGCTAATTGTCCTAAATCTCCAAAACATACTTTCAGTCACTGGTCATATTTATCAATCAAGCAGCAAATACCAAGAGTTCCTAAAGAGGTGGTTTCTATACTTATGACTTCTTTTTTTTTGGGGTTTGCATGCCCGACAGTTGAACTTGTGTAACTCTAATAGATGCTCCATGGTCTTATTATGGGATTTGGGCTAGGAAATTAAGTGACTGTTTCTTTTTATATAAATCGATATATGATTTTTACTACAATATTAAATATATTTCAAAATTATTACTACAATATTATTCTAGGTAGGCCCCAATGGGCAAGACTAACTATCTGGGGGCTCGGTTCGGCTCAACTCAATTCGATCTCAATCAAGATTTAATTCAGATTCAACTCAACTCGATTGGCTTGCATGGACAAGACGAGTCATCTCGTGGATCGATTCAGCTCACCTGTATCTAACTTTGCTTAGCTGACTTTATTTCAATCTAAATTCAAATCAGACTTAGCCCAACTCGATTGGCTTGTGTGGGCAAGATGAGCCATCTGAGGGCTCGGTTCGAATTACTTGTATTTAGCTTCACTTAATTCAACTCGTAGTTTCAATCAAAATTTAACTCGAGCTTAGTTCCAATCAAAATTAGCATAATATCGATTGATATTTGATTAAATTAGCATGATATCGATTCGTTGATTATTATTTATTATAAAATAATTTTATTATTTTTACACCTTCTAGTTAATTTGATGTAATGTAACTTTTTATTGACAATATAGTTACGTAAGACTACTTTATGATAGTAAAAAAAATGTAATCAATATTTTAATTTAAGATATCAAGAATTAAGTAAATTGAATATTACCATTTTTAAAAGTTTATTGTTGCTCTAATTTTATTTTTTATTTTTGCATGAAAATTCTGTTTTATGTTCAATATTAGATTAATGTTATTTAAATTTGAGCTCTAATTTAGAATAGTAATATATACAATTTAATCACACTTAAATGTAATTATCAATTTAAACTAATAATATTTACATTTTTTTAATCGATCAATCTATTACCAATTTAATTATTCTAATGGTGTAGCATTATGCTATTGAAGTTCAGTTCGAGCTCAGTCATACTTTGACAAAATAATTTTGGCTCTTAATCTTGGCTCCGCCTTTGCCAACCCACCCTGGTTGATGTAATAATTTACTATCTTTTTAGATAAAAAGGAGTCCATATCTCATCTCATGCCTGCACACAATCATGACATAGAAAAAATAAAAATAAAATATAAACTAATGTTATTTTGATTTGACATTCTCTTTCTTGCTAAATAACAACACATATCATGCCAACTTAGGTAACATTTTCAAGATCACAAATAGACAATAGTACTTAAAAGAAGAGTGGAGAGACTTCTTGTACTACATTTCTATAATGAAATAAAATTGTATAAACATTCCCAACAGATGAGTACAAATCACAAGATTTTCTTTTATAAAAAACATCACACAACATGTGTTGCATCCATTATTAACAGATACAACCATGTAAAAAGGGACAAGAACAATATTGGAGGGTCATTAAGGTTTTCTTTGAAGAAACACCCAAACAGGATTGAAGAAAATAGAAAATTGGAAAAAGGGTCAAATTCGCCCTTGTACTAGTTACAATCGAACAAGGATTATTGGTCTAATATTATCCTTCCGTTAGGAAAAGGCGATTGTCTTCACCCTATAGTAAGGGTACACAACAAAAACAAGACCTCTAACGTGTGGATAATAATAGAACAAAAGTCTAACAGAGACATCAAATAGTACATGAGTAAATTTAACCCTTTTTCCCTAAAAAAAATTATACTATCATAATACATCGACATTTCCTGAAATGGAACAACTAGCAGAGAGGCGATATCTATATTTCCAAGACGATAACTGCAAAATTAAAAAAAAAAAAGTTTTAGTGAACTTAATCAAGCTAATAATAATAATAATAATATTTTTTAAAAAATAAATAAATTAATAAATGTTACTTACAATCAGAATCAGTCTTCACCCATTTTGATCCATCATTACAAGTTTCCTCTCTTTTTTTCTCTTCTTTCTCTTCTCTTTGTGGATGTTTTTCCTCTAAATATCTCTTTGTTGATGTTCTAGGGGCATTTTGGGGATGTATTTTCTTGGAAAGCATTGTCCTCAAAAGCTACAATAATAAATATAAAGTTGTTAATACAAAAAACTAGCTATAAATATTAAAAATATATCAAAATTTCAATAATATTAAATATCGCGAGTTTAATAGTAAATATTGAACCATCAAAGTGAGGGCAAGGGCATATTTAAAGTCTAATTAGAACTAATTAATGCTTCGTTCATGAAATTCATCAAACTTAAGTCTTAAATTAGTCGAAAAAATAGTTACCTTCTCCATTCTTGATTCGGGAAATGTGTCACGTAAACTAGGAGCAGGAGCAAAACCACCATTTGTACAAACCAACATTTTCTTGAGAAGAAAAGAAATTGATTTCTTCCCAATTGATTTTTTTTTGCTCTGTTTACTACAAACATCCTTGCATCTACCTATGATTACTCTTATTGTTCTGTCGATTTCTTCCTCATCATAATCATCCGAGCAATTAGCACTGCTAAATCTACTGGAATTAATCCTACGATCAACTTCCAAACTCGATGGACAATTAAGAAATCTGTCCAATGGAAGAATATCATCATCATTGACAGCATTGTTCTTGATCTCGACAAACTCAGACTTACTAGTAGTTGGTGATGGTTTTCGTGATAGTAATTTTGTTAACTCTTTTTGTAATTTCTCGACTTCTTCAGATGTGAATTCTGCTAAATCTGGAGAAGAAGAAGTTTGTTCATCGTCTTCGATATCATTTTTTACGTGTAATTTGCTCTGTTCTTTGAGATCACTGCTTCTATTGCCAAAAGTTCCAATTGCTAACAAGGAATCTGGCCAATCTTTGAACTCTTCATTTATATGATCTGTAACGACGAAAAATAAATTAGTTAGAAATATGTTATTTTTCCTTAGTTGATTAGTTAAACAAATTTAGCATTCTGAGATTCAATTCAAAACTAGAATTAAGGACCAATGTACTAAAATATTGAGACAATCCATTATTTTCTCAAATTTCCAAAATTTATTGTCTTTTGGTTAATGAGTGCACTGAGCTCTCACCATGCGTAAAATCACAAAAAAAGGGTCGGACCATGTTGAGTTTATTATATCTGATGATGAAGTCAATTTTGAAATGTACGAGTTTTAGCTAGGTGCATGCTAATGAGCACATACGAAGATGTAATGGATGTCGTGGATACTTTAAAAATGCATGACAGTCTGACATGTAAGTGTAGTAACATTCTTGAAGAGTGTGAGTAACGTGTTTTTAGGAGAAAGAGGAAGAAGTCATACTTGTAGTAATTGGAATAGCATTAGACCTCCTACTTCCTTGTCCCCCATTGAGCTTGTTATGCATCCAATTAAAGAACTACAAGCCAAAACAAAGAATAAATTAATTATTAATCTATACATTCAAACTATGATGCTAACGAGTCTGTCGTTCATTTGAAAACTATGAAACAAATCTGCAATAATTCAAAACTTGAATTTTGACCAACCTTCATATTCAAAAAATAATCTTGTGATGATGTTTGAATAGAAGAATTAAGTCAAAGTGAAAAGTTGGAATCCTAGAAGCCAATAATTAAGAAGCTTTGGATTGAGAGTAATAAATAAAGATTTGAGTTTCTCACTCTCTTAGTATATTTGATGATGCCACTAATGATATATATACCAAAACATACAAGCACTAGATCTCTTTTTTTTTTTTTTTTATATATGTGGACCAATTAAAAGGAAACATGCAACATTTTCCTATGTAGAAAATAAAGATAATACACACACATGGGAGAGAGTAATTTGAGGATAGTGTACTACTTTGAAAACGTGGCTATGATTTCTTCCATTAGATTAAAGATTAATATGCTAATCTTGAGGCTACTCTTTATATTACGTGTGTTTTAACGTGTTATAGCAGATTACGATGTGTTTTATTTTTCAGGTTATTATTCTCGCTTACTAAGAATATTACATATAGTTAATGTTTTGGTGATCGGATTGTGTGTGTTATATATATAAAGAGAAATATTTTTTGTACTGACAGTGTATAAAAATATTAATGTTGATCGAGCAATCTCAAAGAAAAGAGTTACTATCTAATGGTTGTTGTCACACCACGACATGACTTAATTATATTATTAACCCTCCCCCCTTGATGACACTACTAGTAACTTAATTACATATCACTAATATAACTAATTTGCTGTCAAATTTCATTCTTTATTTTACTGTTCTTATTTTGTTGACAATCGAGGGTTCAAACTTAAAAGAGATGGCTAAACAAACCACAAAAGACACTTGGTTTATTTAAATATAAAAAATATAAGATAAAATTAATGATATTAATAAATATCAAATTTTATATGAAATATTGTATATTTATATCCGTGCATGAAATTCGAAAATAGTTCTTCAAAATATGTCTTTTGAATTAAAGTAAAATGGAGGACGAATGAATTTGTAATGTACTCGCTTTTTTTCATTTTAAATTTATTTCAAGAAGAATAACATATGTTTGCATATGATTTTTTTAAAAAAGAATATATATTTTGGCCTATAATAACATGATTTTATAGCTACTTTGCTATGTGACATGTTTAGGATCATAGTTTCTAACGATACTTTAAGATTCGTTTAGCCATGAAACTTATTTATTTATTTATTTGGGATAATATTTTACTTTATTTAAAAATTAGTATTTGACCAAGAAAATTTCAAATTGAACTGGAAATTGTATTTCAATTTTGAAAAATAACTTGTACTAATATATTTTACAATTCACTCACGTTTTGAAGTGGTATTTATGTATATTCAAGCATAATTTCAAATATTCTTTGTAATTAGTACAATCAAATAACTTTAGTTTTATAAATTTCAAATAACTAAGTGTCTACCTGAATTATTTTTTTTGTCCCCATCAAACAACATTATATTATTATAAAATGAGAGGATATGCAATAGCTAGATAGTAATAATTGACTAGAACAACAAAAAAAGGCATGTTTGTAAGACACAGTATGAGTGAGGGATATTGTTTGTCTAAGAGCAGTTGGTACCAGTATTTTTTTGGATATGTGATAATCTTTTAAAATGCATTTAGCATATATTTATGGTTTGTTTGAACCTATGATGTGAAATTATGATATGTAATCAGATTAATATAAAGTTAAAGTTTTAGTTAAACTTGCAAATTGAATTTCTTATGCTGGTAGTTTTTCTTATAAACATGAAAATTCCACATATTGTGAAAACTATCAATTTTTTCAAATTCTTAAATAATCTTACGAAATGAGCGATGCACAACTCATAAATAATATATTAAAAATATCCTAAGACATCACAAATTGTCACGACTTATGGATCCTAATTTGGATGATCTATCCATGACGAGGTTGATAAGTCACATATATATCTGCATGTTCTTTTCATTAATAGATTTTTGTGATTACAAACTTTCGAATACACATATTTTTATAAATATTCACTAATCAATACTAATACTAATAATTAGTTATTCTTTAATATAATATTTTCACATGATACAAACGATATCTTCATACCAAGCATGAATCCCTTTTTAGAAAATTTAAAATGGTAAAACTTTTTTTTTCTTCAAAATATAAGCATTTTTTAAAATCATAATTTGAAATCTCAAATCACGCTTTTTTGAAAATTTTGAAATATTAAAATAGTAAAACTCTTTTTTTTTCAAAATATAACCATTTTTTAAAATCATAATTTGAAATCTCAAATCATGCTTTTTTGAAATTTTTGAAATATGAAAAAAATCATATATTTACTAATTTTAAATCATAATGTATAATTACCTGTCAAAACACAGACTTATTGAAAAATGAGAAGCCCAACATTATATTCTTTTCAAAGGAATTTTGGCCATCTCTCTTTGGGAGCTATCTAAGCAAATAGGAAAAAAGAAATTGCTAGATCTTTCTACATGGCCCCTCAAATAAATGTATAGGCCCCCCATGTCTCATGTACCAACTTATTGCCATCACATTTTTTTTGGTGAGAAAAAATATGATAATATTTTTTTATCGGTATCAGGTGTTTACATCGTATTTATAAATACAAAATATTTAGGAATTGTTTGGTACAAAAATTAATAACGTATGAATTAGTTATGCGTAAATTAGTAGTGTAAAGTTTTTTTTTTTTTTTAATTAAGTGTTTGATTTATTGCTTCCCACCTAATCTATAACGACTTGATTTCGTCGTTAGGGAAAAGCAAATGGGGAAAGAATTGGGGTCAGAAAACTTTTTGGTAGTAAGTTGGGATTTCCTAGCCTAGTCCAGATTTGGACGAAATCGGAGCCAGTAAAGTCTAGGGAAATCTGGTAACAACTGGGTGATTTAATTATGATTTTGATTACATGAGTAGATAGCTAAGACGTTAAGAAATCCGTACGACTTTACGAAATTGAATTTCGGCGAGTAGAACTACCGAAACTGATCTTGGCGTGAACGGGTAATTTCTGAGTGTCGTTGGTTGAAGGTGTGTTGTGAGATGGGGTCTTGGAATTATTAAAATAGCTCACTGTTTCGTGCAAATCGCTTTGCCGGGGATTTTTGCCGCCAGGGCGGGGCCGTTGTAGTGGGGTGAGGACCACTGTGGCGGGTTCGACGTGACTTAAGGTCGTAAATAAACCCTAAAACGTCTTTATTCTGCACTTTTCGACTTTGAGAGCTAGGAGACGACCCCAGACGAGTTCTTGATTGTTTTTCACCATTATTGAGGCTAAAGGTAAGGTTTTCACTCCCCGAATCCGTATTTTGATCCGTAGAACTTAGTTTCTTGGATAATTATCGATGGGGGAGGGTTTTGATCTGTGATTGATGGTGGGAAAAAGCCCTAAATTGGGTATTTGGATCTTGTGTTTGGTCTAGGGTTATTTGGTTTGTTATAATCCAGATAATTAGACATTTGATTATTGATCCTTGCGTATAAATTGTTGTTTGTAGACCTAGAACAAGCGGATAGAATCCGGAAAAAGGGAAGATTCCAGTGCCTTAGGGGATTCAAGTTTGGATTCGAGGTAAGTGATGGTTGTGATTTCATGTTGGTGTGATACATGTTTGTAATTGCTTATTATAATGTAAGTATGTATGCGAATGTTGCATTATTGATCACCCTAATCGTAAATGAGAATAATTGAATAATTGTATGTCATGAATCACCTCTTGTTGTATGATTGTGAGAATATACATTGTGATTGTGATTGTGGTTTGTTGAATGGATCGGTTGCCACGTTTCGGCATAAACATGGGATCGGTTGTCATGTTCCGGCATAAATATGGGATTGATTGTCACGTTCCGGCATAAATATGGGATCGGTTACCACGTTCCGGCATAAACATTAGATAGGGTACCACGTTCCGGTATGCTAACCGTTTGGGTGTGGGTTCCATGAGAGGATCATTGAATTGGGTTCCGTGAGAGGACCATTGAATTGTGTTGTGTATCTACTTGTGATTATTACGTTGATATCTAATGATGATTGATATTAGGAGACCGTATGTTGTTCTAAATTGATAACCAATGTGTATTATTGAGAACGTGTGATGCTATATTGATCCAGAAAAGATGACTAATATTGTATATGTTCGGTATATGCATGTTTTATAATGTTGTGGTTACTTGCATGTGTTTCACTTATTGGTATAGCCGCGTGATCCTATTAGTACACTGTGGTTGTGTACTGATACTGCACTTGCTTGTTCTTTGTTGAGTACATGGAATCTTTAGACGGCTATTGATAAACCTCAACTAAGTGACTATTGAGCGTGATTGAATTCAAGGGTGAGTCAGTTCTTTCAGGCTGCCATGAATCTTTCTTGTTTAAGTCTACTTTTTTCGGACTCTGACTTTTGTTTAAGGTGTTATTTAGTTTCGGGGTTGTACCCCTTGTTCTTAGACTTGTCGTTAGTAGAGTTTTGGTACAATGACTTTCAGGTTCTAGGGGTTGTTCTTCCGCATTAGTTTGGTTAGTTGTTTGTTAAAACCTTGGAGTTTATGGGGACTCCATTTTTATAGCCATTTAAACTTGCTTCCGTATCTTTAAATGCCTTAGTTTTCATAAAATTTGTTTGTTTGGGTTGTAGTAATGGTTCTCCCACCGGAGGGTTTGTGTGGGTGCCAATCACGACGGTCTGGGTCGTGACATAATCTTGTGTTTGAATTAAAACACTACAAAAAGCTTCTTTCAAATTATACACTTGAATTATTATGAGATTTTCTATTTCATGTAATTTTGTCAAGATAGATAATTGCTGGACAATATTTTTTTATTGTGGTCTTCTAACTAGTTTGTTGTTCATCCTATATTCCTAAGATACTTAGAACAAAAACTTTGAAGAACTTGGTACGAAACAACAAAGTTTAAAGAGTATTTTCCAAACTAGAAAATTAAAATCAATAGAGAAAATAGAATCAGAAACAAATTAGAAATAATATACAAAATATTTTTTTCAAAGAACAAAATCGAGC